AGTCGTGGGCTCTGTATCGACACAATTGCATCGCTTGGTGGCACCGGTCGCACCGGACCCTCAACTTCGCCAACATATTCTGCACACTACGGGGCGCCGGCGTCACGTCCGTGTGACACACGGGTAGGCCGTCCACCGGACACGTCCTCTTGACGGCCCACCACTCGCGCAGACATCGGCCACAGAACAGGTGCTGACACGGCATCACCTGAACCGCATCCTCCAAGACATCCGTACAGATACTGCACATCAGCTCCTCGTCCACTGTCTCCACGAACACCTCGGCGTCGAAACCCATTCCTCCGAGTCTTATGTCAAGCACTGTATGTATAATGAGATACCGTTTTAGTTACGACTGAAGTAATGATTGTTTGAAAAGTTTTTTTTAATGCGATTTCATAGCAAACTATACGAGCGATAAGAGTGACAAACATTGGACTCCAGTTCCCATGCGATCCCACGAAAGGCTACGCAACCACTCAAACGTCGCTTTAAATTAGTTGTTATACTGATTATCAGTACAATAGATGTGATGCCAAGGGTTACGCCACTACTCGTCATATCTCTTATCTTCAACTTATTGTCCAAATATTATCGCATAATCGGAGGGAAAGGATGTGGTGTTCAGGCATTGAACACCAATGATCACCTCTCAACCAATGATCACTACTTTTCCCTAATATATCGCATATTTGTATGACTTTTTAGACCCTCTATTAAAAGCCATGAATTGATGCAAACATTTAAATTCATATTTTACTATATATTAGGAAATTGTAAATCAAAATCAATTCGCATTCATATGAGTCTAATCCGAGTTTCAGTGAATTTATTGAATAAATGAGAAAAACTATATAAAAAAGTTTTGAATCTTTATTTATTTTTCTACTAAAATTTTAAGCGACTAATTTGTAAACTAAAAAACATATCGTTTTTTGTATTTTTAGCTGTAAAAGTAGAAAGCAATAAAATTTATTTTCTATAAAACGTTAATTTTTGTGTTCAAAACACGTTATTATATAAATGCAAACAAAATTAAACTATTATTACTTGTATTTGTGAATAACTATTAAATTTCTATGCATTTCTAAATTGAATTGTATTTTCTAATTGAAGCTTTCCAATTAAAAATAAACAAATACTACAAATTATATAACTTTAAACCCAGTGACAATGGGATGGTATCCCTATCCACCCCTACTTTGCCATCAATGGCTTTGATATGATATGTAGAGCTCAGTTACCCGAAACTACCCGTCCGTTGACTGGCTGTCCATAACAACCGCATAAATAAAATACAAATTCATATATCGTTTGCGTAAAGCATTTATTCGATTAATTCATCAAAAAATACATCAAATATTAGTTTTTAAATAAAAAAACTTTAATCTTATCTATAAATGAAAAAATTTTTCATTACATCTAAAACTCATGTGAACTCCCGGTCCGTATGGAGGAACGGGAGGTCCGTACGAGTTGTGCATAAAATAATATATGAATTAAATTGAAAATACAATCAAACAAAGATTGCAAACAATTGAAAAAATATTTATAAGAAAATTAGATATTTTTAAATATAAATTCAAGTAATATGTGACTTATAATTATAATTAAGAATTTGAGTCAATATTTTCCACCTATCCTTCATTCCGGATTTTGCTTTAAAATATTGTAAGAAAAACTGTTTATCGTTTAGCTTATTAGCGTCTAACGTATTAGCGTTTCGCTTAATAAGTCTTAATGTGTCACCAAATGTGGGATCAGCTGTGAGACAATTCTCATCAATAGACCATAAGTTATATTTCGATAATACTTCACCACAAGAGGGTCTAACAGTCGGGTCTAAGGATAACATCGTTTTTACTTCTTGTTTCAAATGAACGACACATTTGTTTAACACTTCATTATCTGATGAATACTTCTGTGAACTACTTCTGAATATAGAAATAATTTATAAATAATATAATCAATACAATCACATACTGTATGTCTGACTCCATTATGTTCTCCAAATCAAAGTCAAATATCTCTTCTGTAGTTATGGCCAGACTGTAGACATCACTTTTGCGGCTATGATCACCACTTTCCTGTACTTCCGGAGCTTGGTGATCCCGGTCACTCACTTTGTATAGTGAAGCCAACCCGAAGTCAGCCAATTTAAAATATCTGCCATTCTTTACAGTCTTTGCCAATAATATATTGCCCGCATGAAGGTCTTGATGAACGACCGGTGTATCCAATTCATGTAAATATTGAACGCATTCTAA